AACCAATAGGACATAAGGTAATACTTCGAGCCATACATCCTGTTCAACCGTCGCACATCTCAAGCAACTGAAGAACAAAAACAGACATCCTTGCTATTCCACATGAAGATGCACCAGTCAAGCCGTTGAACACGGCGCCTATGGGTTTCTGTGTGATAGGAGTTTGGAAGTAGGCGCTGGAGACCGTCCTCTTTGTACACTAGATGCAGTATGGAAATCTAATAGAGAGGAGTGATATGCTTTGGACATGACAGCCTCATGACTGAGCTTTTTCGTTGAAAATCGAACCCCGGATTTTAGCGTTGTAATTCCATAAACTTACCACTGACTTACTAGGGGATCACTGACGTCAGTCATTTCATGATTAAATGTGGCGACATGAACTATAACAATGTGATGAGACTCCAAAACCGTTTTAATATATCATACTCAAACCTCTTTATATAAATTCTACTTTTTCTCATTATTTTCTAAACTTAATATTTTCAAATAGAGTTCCGATTTTGTATTATGTACACTACAGTACCTTAGACACCTCGTGTTCGATTAAGTAGATGTATGTTAAAACATTCGATATTTGAAGACAAAAATATATTTGTCCTATCAATCCATTGCGTATTATTTAGAACCGGAAGAAGTGTTTTCATGTAAAACATATCTTTTTATTAGAAGTTCAATATTATACTTGGATGTTGAGAGACTTTTGTAGTTGGAGAGAGACATCGAATGCCCTGTTTCTGTATTGTGTTGATACATAGTGGCAGTAGCGGCCATAGGTATGTTCGAAATTATGGACTTTAGATTGCTAAACACTTCTGAGCTATTATAATCCGAATAAGTGGGTTCTTATGAGACTTGTCTTCAATTTTCGTTCAGTACAGTTTGCTTCTTGGGGCTAAGACGTTGGAATATATATATATATAACCTTTGATGGCGCAAATGCTGGTGAATTTCAATCTCAATACAAATAAAATGACCCACAGAATCATCGTATATAATTTTTTAAATGTATCATTAAACAATAGAAACAATAAACACAATTGAAAAAGATAAATCTCAAACGTTTCGGACACTTAGCCCGTCTTCATTGAAAATCAAAATTGAATATAAATGCGTATGGTTTGAAGCAAACACCTAGATGTATTTTAAATATGTATAAGTATATATATATATATATAATAAAATAAAGGCAATTAAAATTAAAATCAAAGAAAATCGAAGAAAATTTGTTATTTAACTATATTTAGAAGTACAATATAGACTTCAGGCTTCTCGAATCATTCCACATTCATTATGAAAAACCACCCTGAACAATAATGTCAGATCTGTGTAGTTAAATAGATTTTCTTCGATTTTCTTTGACGCAGCATTAGAAAAGCAGAAAGGAGTATGTTTGTTCGTTTTTAGTAATGCACAACGCTACACAATGGTTTATCTTTACTCTGCCCACCACGGGTATCGAAACCCAGTTTCAGCGTTGTAAGTCCGCAGACATACCACTGTGCCACTGGGTGGTCAGAAAGAAGTAATGGACAGATTTTTGGCATTAGCAGGAGATGAAGCAGACTCTGACAGTGATATTAATCCACATGATAGCTCTGTTACAAGTGACAGTCCATATGAAAGTGATGTGAACAAAAGCCCTCTTGACAAAGACAATAAGCATCATGGTAGAGATAATACTGACAATGACTAGTAAGAAAGTGATATTGGTTACAAACCAGGCGAAGAAAATGAAATCGATTATGAAGTAGGTGTAGACGTACAAAACCTTCCATGAACAGTCAACAACCAGTGTTTCCCCATTACTTCAGATTCACATACATGGCCATCTGTGTTGCAACGGAAAGAGACCTCAACAAAAGAAAATATTTCTATCCACCAAAGACTGATAGCACTGGAAGGCGTTTTACTCCTGTTCAAGCAGTTACCCAATGGAGAGAAGGTAGAAATGAAATGGTTAGTTCATTCATCACAATGTAATGCTGTATTTTGCTTTTGTTGTAAACAAAAACAAACACCTTAACAAACACAGGATTCTCAAGTTTGGTGCATCTAGGAAAGCAATTGAAATCTCATGAACAATCACTTGAACACATTTCTAGCACGCTATCTTGGTATGACGCACAAAAAAGACTTAACACAGGATACGTCATTAACCACCTTCAGTAAGCACAGCTCAAGTCAGAGATTGAACACTTGAGTGCAATTTTTCATAGACTTGTCAGCACAGTGTATTTTTTCGCAGAGCGAAATTTGGCCTTCAGAGGGTCTGGAAGTCATGAAAAACTGGAAGATGTGCAAAATGGGAACTTCCTTGGCCATGTGGAGCTAATGGCAAAATATGGTGATCTTATGGCAGTACACACCAAAAAAATTAAAAATAGAGACATATCTGAGCATTACCTGGGCAAATCAACACAAAATGAAATTATCTAGCTAGTTTTAAAAAACATATTGAACAAGTTGATAGAAATGGTAAAAATCTTCCAATTACTATTCAGTTATATTGGACTGTACCCCTGACATTAGTCATCAAGAGCAAATGACACTGATAGTTCGCACAGTGAATATGTCTTCTGATTCTCTAATCATTGAGCAACATCTCATGGATTACATTCCAAGTGATAATTCCATGGGCGAAGCCCTCACAGACATTCTCCTCAAGAAGCTGGAAGAAATTGGTATCCCACCTGGAGATTGCAGAGGGCAAGGGTATGACAATGGAGCAAATATGAGAGCGAAGAATTTTGGTGTACAGAAAAGACAACTGGACATAAACCCCAAAGCAGTTTTCATTCCGTGTGGAGGCCAGTCATTGAATTTAGCAGTTTGTGATGCTTTAAAGGCATCAACATCAGCCATGGAATACCTTGGTTGCCTTCAAATGTTATACAGCCTTTTTGCGGCATCAACCAAACGATGGAGTATTCCAACACAATATGTCACATCTCAAGTTATTAAACGGCCTTCAGATACCAGGTGGGAAAGTAAAATTTCAGGTTAAGGTGTTTATGGAAAAAGCAAATGAAGTACACACTGCACTACAGAAAACACTCCATGACATACCACACTTGGATACGCAAACGTTCTCTAAGGCCCAAAGCTTGCATTCTTTCCAATTCATTGTTAGCACTATCATTTGGTACAATATATTGAGTCAAATAAACAAACTTAGCAAGCTGATGCAGAGTGCTGACACGCCATTAGATACTACAGTAGCATTACTGAAAAGCACAAAACATTCCTTGAAGAATATAGATTGATTGGCTTTGAGGAAGCCATAAAGGTTGCATCTGATATAGCACTAATATTTGATGAGCCAATAGACACAATGTTTCCTGAAGAAAGAGTGAGGAAAAGAAAGAAGCTCTTCCTATATGAAGGAGCAGATGAGTCAATCCGAGGGGGAAAAGAAACATTCAAAATATAATACTTTAATGTTATTCTACATGTGGCTATTGCTAAACTAGAGAAACGGTTTGAACAAATGGTGGCCCTCAAAGACAAGTATGGTTTTGTTTATGATGTTTGCTCCCTGAAATCAATAATACCAGAAGAGCTTGAGGAGATGTGTAAAGAGGCTGCACAAAACTTTGAAGGGGACATAATTGCTGATGAACTTCTCACAGAATTAAAGAGCTTCATAGCTCTGAGCTCAGATATCCAACTGCAGCAGCCAACCTCACTGTCTATTTTACAGTACTTACATAAAGCCATTTAAATGACATTTATCCCAAATTATATGTGATTCTGAGGATTTTTTTTTCACTGTGCAAGTTACAGTAGCTTCAGGAGAAAGTTCATTCTCAAGGCTGAAAATCATAAAGAATTATCTGCACTCATCCATGAGCCAAGAGCGGCTGGATGGCCTTGCTATCATTGCCATAGAACATAGTGTAGGAAGAACACTTGATTATAGTGATCTGATCAAAGCGTTTGCTAATAAAAAAGCTCGTAGAGTGCAGTTCGTTTAAAGCAGGTTGTAAAACAAATGTTGGAGTTGGTTTAATTGTATGTCTGAAATTAAATTTGTATATACTATTTGAATTTTAGTATTTTGTAACAGTGATACTGTTAATGCCATGTTTATGTTTCATGATGAAGTGAATTATTCCATTTAAAATTACTCGATGAGCAGTTCCATTGACTTAAGAGTTATTCAAATAATTAAGTGATTATACTGCACAATAATATATTTGACAAATTGCACTATTAAGCTTTGGTTGTTAAGTGTTTACTACCTCTAGAACTAATACACATGGAAATTTTCAATACTAAATTTATATTATTGAATCTTTTTGAAAGTTATTCAGTACATAATAGTATTGTATTTAAAAATAACATTTTATTTAGAAAAAATGTATTTTTCTCAAAATTTCTTTCTGTACTTATTCAAGGATACAGAAACAGAATTTTTACATAAATATCATATATGTGGAGGAGGCTCATTGTCCTCATTCTGCACAGAGCCCGCATAGCCCTAAAACCGCCACTGATAGCGGAGGTGGGAGGATGATGAGCAATCAGCACACAATCTTTGTAGAGAAAAAGTTTTAGTCTGAAATGAGATTTAAAAATAACTTTCAAAAAGATTTGAGAATAGTAAGAGTTATATATTTTTTTCAATTGTTTCGTGATCAGATATGGTAAGCAGGTGTATAAGGGTAGCTTGGGTATAGTAACTATCTTAGGTGGTTTGACAAACACATTAGTTAAGAATAAGCATGCTTTTTTCTCGTTTTTTCATATATTATGAAACCTTTTGTCGAACAGGTTTTTACCAGAATTTAAAATAAAGCTTCAATAAATGTCATTCATTAGATAGAAATCAAACTCGTATGTAAATACACTGAAACAAATTTTATTTTTTATATCATTTTCACAATAAAAAAATCGGTTAATTTACTGAAAGTAGGACATCGATACTCCAATTAGATTTTTTATATATATAAAATGTGAAACGTCAATTACTTCAACGTTAGATGGCGATACTAACAAACCGGCCGGCTTTTTGGTGCATTCAAGGTGATACAAGGGCAGTCGGAAAAGGAGTAGCAAGGTCTTGTTGTAACTTTCCTTACTACAAACGTTTTAAAGAAATATTGGTGATTGGACGTTTTGGCTGTTAATATTATACATCAAAACAATATGAGTGTCTGTCTTATTGTAATTGATGGATGGGGTATTTCTGATCATAAGGAAGGAAACGCAATCCTCAATGCGTCAACCCCAGTGATGGACAAGCTTGCTGCAGCTTCTGATCAATACTGCACTTTGGATGCTTCTGGTTTGTCAGTAGGCTTACCAGCTGGCTTGATGGGTAATAGTGAAGTTGGTCACATGAACATAGGAGCAGGTAGGGTCATGTATCAAGATATTGTAAGGATCAATATGGATGTGAACAATAAAAAAATTTCTGAAAATAAGCATGTAATTGAAGCTTGTAATTATGCTAAAGCAAATAATGGAAGACTTCATTTCCTGGGCTTGGTGAGCGATGGTGGAGTTCACTCACATATTAATCATTTATTTGCCTTGCTTGAAACTGCAAAGCTCAGTGGAGTTCCCAATACGTATATTCAGTTTTTCTCTGATGGTCGAGATACAAGCCCAACTAGTGGAGTTGTTTATGTTCAACAGGTTTTGGATAAAATTAAAGAACTGCAGTATGGTTCATTGGCCACGATCATGGGTCGCTACTATGCTATGGATCGAGATAAGCGGCATGAACGTGTTAAGCTGGCTTATGAAGGTATGGTCCAAGGAATAGGAGAAAAAACAACACCTGAAAAGGTCATTGACTTGATCAAGAAACGGTATGAATCAACAGAAGATAAACAGACAGATGAATTTCTTAAGCCAATCATTCTTGATGAGTCTGGATTAATCCAAGATAATGATACAATGATTTTCATTGATTTCCGTGCTGACCGTATGAGGCAGATTACCGAAACTTTTGGTCTAGAGAGGCATTTTGAAACTGCTAAGGTTCCTCAAAATCTAAATATTTTTACAATGACCCAATATAAGAAAGAATTCCCATTCCCCAATCTTTATCCACCAGAAATACCTAAAAATGTATTGTCAGAATGGATTGCGAGTAAGCAGTTAACTCAGTTTCATTGTGCCGAAACAGAGAAGTATGCTCATGTTACATTCTTTTTCAATGGAGGTCAGGAAAAGGCTTTTCCTCTTGAAGACAGATTAATGGTTCCATCTCCAAAAGTTGCCACTTATGATCTACAACCTGAAATGAGTTGCAAACAGGTTGCTCAAGAAATGGTTAAGGCTATAGAATCTGGAAAATATCCCTTTGTCATGTGTAACTTTGCACCTCCAGATATGGTTGGCCATACTGGTGTTTATGAGGCTGCAGTGAAGGCTGTAGAAGCAACAGACAAAGCTATAGGTATGATTCAGCAAGCCTGTGAAAAACATGGCTATGTTATGTTAGTCACTGCTGACCATGGAAATGCTGAAATGATGATTAATGAAAAAGGTGGTCCAGTTACTGCCCATACAACCAACAGGGTTCCTTTCTGCATGACAGGCTTCCGCAAATTCAAGAAACTAGAGCACAATGCTGCTCTTTGTGACGTTGCTACAACCATTCTAGACCTAATGGGGCTAGACATTCCTCCTGAGATGACAGGAAAATCTCTCCTTGCTCCTCCCTAAAGTTTTAGTAGAAATGAAACAATATGCGAGTAGAAATATTAATTTATTGTTGAGCTGTTGTTAGCTTTTGCAGTATGTGTGTTGTATTGGTATCTAATTAATATATATGTAAACTAAGGAATATTAATATATTTATCATGTTGTCATTGTTGGTGTATGATATGGTAATCATATGAATATTTTTTTTATTATTATGATAAAAAATTTAATTTGTTACAGGTAATTTATTATTTATTTCAATCAGACAACCTACTTAGAGGGTAAGTTGATAAATCAACCTGACCATCATAATAGGTAAATATACTTTTCTTGTGTTTGTATAATCTTTGTAATGAAAGGACAATAATTAAAATTAGTAAAACTTACTTAGAAAACACAGAAATATTAAAGGTTATTCTGAAATTGGTTTGAAAATTTTATGTGAGGTCAAAGAAATTTATTTTCTGTTAGTGAATGAATTGTGGGATGGCTGTAGTGAAAATAATTAAAGTTTTGAAACCAATGCACTAAAATTTGTGTATGAAGCTTTGCATCTGTACCAAAAGTTTTAAAGTCTACTACTGTTAGTGTTACAAAAGTATTGGAAGTTTCTTGAAATTGTTTATCATATACATAGATTATCATATATATAAATGTTATTTATAAATCCATTTTTCATATTCTTGTTAGTTTCAAGGCTCTTTTACTTAAATAGTTAATTTATTGTTTTCTATTTTTACACTTTTTGTAATCCACATTAACTGGAATCTTCTAATGAGCTCAAAGTGGCTTACAGATTATATATTTACTTAGCCTAGTTATAATAAACTATGCTATATGCTTTATCATACACTGTTAAAGAAGTGTTCATGTCTAGTCAATTTGTGTAATATACACTCAAAACAGTGTTCTGAAGACATTCAGCTGAAAGAATTATGAATTTTCCTAAACATTACTCTAAATGGTTTTCAACTTTTTTGAAAAAGAAGCTGAGTATTACTGAGAACAAAATAGTTTTAAATTCTTTGATATAGCAATTTTTATGATTTTATGAAAGAAAAGGTTTCAAAATAGATTTTTTCAATTTTAGTTACATTTAATGCCAGTTCTTGAAATTAAAATTCAGTGGACATTTACAGTTTTTCACATACTTATGATTTTTAAGTAAACAAATAGTACATCAGTAAGAATTGAGTATAAATCTTTATGCTTTGATATTATACACATCACTAATTTACTAGTGAAAAATGAAAAGAAAAATTGTTAGGATTGTTTACTGTTTTATCTTTCTCCAGTTTTACAAGTGGAAAAGTTTTTCTTTTGTGTTGATTAATTTTTTTTTTAATTATGAATGTTTACAATGTACACTATCAGTTTGGCAATTTTCTGAAGGATGAGTTGATAAACTCGTAGAAGCATTGTTGTATTTTGATTTATTTGGTTGAGCTTGCTTTGTTTAATAAAGGATAATCTGCTTGAAGTGGAATGTAATTCATTGTCATGAAATGTTTGCAACTTTAAAGCACAAACCAGAATGGACTTAATCTGTTAAATAATTAGCATTTTGAACTATGTCACTGAATATACAAAATAGGCTAAGAATAATATTCTATTTTGTTATTATAATAATAACCTTTTTTAATATATACTATAGCACCTAAATTTTATTTATCATACATAGTTAAATCTTACTGTTTATAAACACACAACTTGAAAAAGTGATATAATTTATGAATTACATGTGAAATAAAACTTGTTCAGTGGGAACAAAATCATGAATTTTTTAACACATATCTTTAGATTAAAAAACTTGATTAAGTAATTTTTTCAGATAAAATTTCACTATCTGAATGAAATAATTTTAATAATGATCTTGAAAATTCTTGCAGTCAAAAAAATTTTAGCTCTGTTCATATTGGTTGCTTTCATGCCATGAGTTGTGAAGTTACACTTTAATTCATTGTTATCTTACATATTTTAACACAAGACAAATATAATGCAATAAGAAGTCTTATCTAACAAACACTGTGGTTATTTTATAAAAGCTATAATTTGAGTATTTAACTTTTATTTGAAATGTTACTGCTTCTGAAAGTAATTTACCTAGGCTGTTTGTCACTACTTAAAAAACACGTCGAATACTAGCTTGCTTATTCAAATGGGATTAATGCAAACTTTGTGGAAGTTGAACACAATGGACAATAAATCAAATCATTGTAAATTGTAAATTTGTGTTTTTAAATATCAAATCTAGGCAGACTTCTTTTTGGAAAATTTTGACATCTTGAGTATGTTTCTTTTCATAGGGCCAGTCAAGCTTTTAATAACTATATATATTAATTGCATCTCATGCTAGTTTTCTTAATATATGAACCAGAAGGTTTAGAAAAACTTTTGTTGATGTCCATTAGAAGTATTAGTGCATAATAGAGCTTAAACAAGTTAAAGCTACTGCTATGGGTGTAATTGCATGTATGAATAGCTGTGTGTAATTATCATAGTAACAATCAGTTCATGCCAATTAAGCTTCCTCCAGGTCCTTCCCCAGGAAACAATCTACTGTATTTCTCTTTTCAACTTGAACAAAATTATGTACATAATTGCAAATAAAAGATTAATTTCATGACAGAACTACTTGGACACTTGCATTTCAGATTTCAACTTTTTTCTCTCAGCATGATTTTATCTAGACACAAAGTAAATATTATGTTTACAGATAAAGAGGAATACAAATGATATATGTGCATTAATGCCATTTGAATAAAGACAGGGGCAATTGCCCCTTATGTTTCATACTACCTTTGAATATTAGGCACAATTCACGCATGTGTGCAGCAGCAGCTTTCATTTAACAGTTTATACATGTTCCATAATCTCTACTACTGTCTCAGCAGTATGTTTGAAAGTAAAACCCTGACTCAACAGACTAGAGAAGTTGGATGAATTGACAGGATGTAAGTTAGGTGTGATAATTCGGCAAATTGTTTTGCTCTTACTGAACTTTTATAACAAATTATTTTACTAAGAGAAATGGAGACTGGATTGGCACTTTCTTCCACAGTGTGTGTATATATATATAAAACAGCTTGGGCAGAGGAAAGTGTTTGGGGAATAAAGTATAACCTCTAGTGTTATACACAGGGTGGTCCAGAATTATCTTTCCTGTTTTAAAAGTTGATAATTAAGGAAATACAACCATGCAGTTTTCAATATCTTGTATCCCAAACCAAACTGTTTTTATTGTCATGTTTTATTTCACTCCAGTAAGCAGTGTTACCCTTCAAAATGGCAATCATGCTAGAAAAGGCTCAATGCATAATATGGCTTGTAGAGATCAAGTTAGTGACTGTGGTGTAGTATAATTACACATGACAGTACAGGAAAGAGGTATGTTAAGGATATCATTTATCGCACACCTATAGCAATCATGAGGAATGTAAAGACCATAATAATGGATGCCATCAACACTGTAACTGTGCACATGTTGCAGCAAACACAGACTGAAATCGAATATCAGTTAGACATGCTGTGAGCCACTAATGGTGCACACATAAAGTCTACTGACATGTCAATAAAAACTGTTTGAGCTAGGCTACAAGATGTTGAAAACAACATGATTGTATTTCCTTACTTAGTTAATTATTAATTTTTAAAATAGGAAAGATGATTTTTGACCACCCTCTATTTTATGATAACAGCTACTTTATGTTACACAAATAGGTTATTATTCATTTAATTCTTTATTCCCATACTTCTGCATGATTTAAAGCCCACAAACAAGCTTCAGGCAGCATGCAGTTTTTTCATAATACCTCCTTTATTTATCGCACAAAAGCCTGAAAATAAGAAAACTCAATAATAAGTTGATGTCTAAAACATAAAACATTTCCCCTTACAGCCAGCATAAAATACATAAATATAATAACATCCTGTGGAACTTATTATTACCATATTGGCACAAACTTAAGACAATTGTACTTTTCAAAAATGAGAAATTTAAGAAAATGTTAAATATACAGTAGAGCAAAGTTGTCTGTTTGTCCTGTTTTTGGTAATTTTGTTATAACAATTTATAAAAAAAAAAGTAAATAATCTGGCACAATTTCCTTTTAAAAAGCCAATTTTAATTTTTTTTATCTGCAAAAGAATTGGTAAATGAAATATACTAAAACAATTCTCCATGTTTCAAGTTGTCACTGTAACCTTCAAGTTTATACATAGGAAGTCTCCAAAAAGTTATGTAGCCTTGGCACACAAGAAAATGGTGGTGAGAAGAAACACAAGTTATTTGCAGACTATCTGGTTGTGATTAAAATAGAAACTAAGTCCTGGAGTCTATTTTTATCTCTAAGAATGAATTTGAAACTTCTGTTTCTGTGCTCAGGACTTGTGGATCAGTTGAGAAAATGTTTCAAATGCTGGTTACAAGTAATTTTGACTTTTTATGAAAAAAAAATGGTTGTGCAGTGTAATTTTATTGAGTGATTTTAATATTAAATTTAACCTTTAAAATTTGCCAGAACTACAGTATTTATTTATATGTTGATAAAGACATGATTCAAGTTTGCTAATTGTTCTGAAAGGGCAAGTGATGGTGTACTTGTAGATCCAAAACAAAAAATTTATGTAAAACTGACCATAAAATCTCATAAAAATGTGTTCAAAATCTACGACAAACCTGCTCTTCAAGGTTCAGACAATGTCTTAAATATGCTAATAAACTCTCGAGTTTTTGACATAAAGTAGGGATTTGTCCCCATTAGTTAATTCGTCCAAGGCAGTGGAGATCATGGATGAGTCCACCTGCAGCTACTGTCTGATTCACCAACAAGAAGTGAAAATTAATAACTTGCTTAAGCAATTCTATATTCCATCTGGGAAACTATAGAAACACAGCAAGATTTAGTAAACTTAACTATTAATCCAAAATGAGTGGAAAACCTGTAGTACAGCCCGGTACTACATTACTTATGGAATTTTTCTTCAAAGGGCAGATCAGTAACTTCCACACCAATTAAGCAAAGATGGCTGCTCTTATAGGAACTGCTGTAAATGTCAGGTGTGTACCTATCAATAAATTATGAACCTTCCATATTTTTACAAAAGTTGTATGCATTCCTTCATGCAAAATATGTTTGGTAATAATTATTTCTTATTTGTATAATATATTGAGTAGTGATTAGATATGAGTGAAATAATACAAGAAAGAAAATGAGGATTCAGGAACTAGGCTACTCCAACAAGTTTCCACTTTGTCTGTTGACTAAGAGTCTGATAAACGATGCTTTGCAGGATCATTTGGTGAAGCTCAAAGTTATTTCAGACAGCCAACATGACTGCAAAGGGAAGATTCTGTCTTACCACCCTAACATTTTATTAAGGATATCCAAACAAGTAGCTATAATTTTCCACAATACAGGAGGTCCCAAAAATGTTACATAGAGAATAAATTGAATATGGACAGCAAGTGAATAAATAAGACACATCTGTATTCTCAACAGTGTAATGTTTATCACAAAATTGGCTGCGGGAGTAGAGAGGCTTTACAGATACATCTTCCTAGGAGAAGGACAGAAAGAAGATTAATGTCATACCACTGAAGACAGACAAAGGGATGTATTCCACAATCCTTACATTATTTACATCAATGGCTACTCTAAACAACATATACATGAGAAAAAAAAAACCAACTTCAAGTGTCTGTATCACCCTTTAAGGTGGACTTGCCTCACTCCAGGGAAGTGACACAGTCAAACTCATAGAAGCTTCTATGGGATACCTAAGTAAAAAAAATTAGTACATATTTATTTGATTTACACTAACACCTACAAGAAAAATTCAGAAGAATTACCTGAATATATTTTACTAAAGATATAAACTATTTATGAACAAATGAAATGAACAGTTAATTTAACTGTGACAATTGTGTATATACATGTGTGTGTGTTAAAGATTTATTTTTACCAGAGGTGAAATTGAAAAGATAATCTGTGAAGTAGAGGCCTAATTGCATTCTTTAATTGGCTGTACCCTCTGCTGTGGACTGCAGTTTTGCCTATTCAAAGCTCATAAGCATAACTTGGGTCAGCAAACCTAAGAAATACCATTAAGCCTTTTATAAAGGTGAAGTGTATGTAATATCTTGGGGTTTTGAGTTTGTTTTACTTCACCATATAGTAACCTAAATTAAGTTAGGCATATGAATCATGTTATGACATTTCATCAAATATATTATTCCATTTCTTTTTCATCAGAGGTGAAATTCAAAAGAGAATCTGTGTTGTACAGGCCTATTACATTATGTTTAGTTTCTGTACCCTCTGCTGTGGACTGCAGTTTCATCTATTCAAGGCTCATCAGCACAGCTTGGGTCAGCATTATTCTCATACCTAAATTAACTTAGGTTACTGTATGGTTTAAGTAAAATGGACTCAAAACCCCATAGAAACTGTGACAATTGCTTTTCCTTATCTCAGGGTTTTCCCAGACCC